GCTTTCCCTGTCAACTGTACTGCGCCGGTGGCATTGGGTGGCATGTCAGCATGGCCAAGCGTCTTGAATCAGGAACGGATCGTCGAAAGGCATTTGGGGACGGGGGTTAGGACCCTGCATTCCGCCGTTGCTGGCCCATCCAGTTGCCTCTTTTTCGCTCCCCGATCTCTGCCTCCCGCGGCTGCCCTTAACTTGGTTTCGACCCCTCCTACCATGCCTGGGGCTTCCTATCGGTGTGGAGTGGTGAACCATTGGCATCGTGAGTTTCCAGACGCAATAGTTGAGCAAGTATCGTCAATTTACCACAGCTCCAGCGAGGGTCTTTGATGGGTGACTGGAGTGTATCGAGACATTGCCTATGGATCGTCCAATTTGCGCCCGTACTCCGTTGACTGGCCACGTCTGCTAGTCAGGGGCTGGCTGAAGGAGGGGTTTGACTGACGGGGCCAGTGACGACCAACTCCTGGAGCTATGGCTGGGAATCAGACCTCAGAGCTCACTTACTAAGTACTGGCTTTGCTTTTCCGACGCAATCTCTAGGAAGCTTGCGTAGCCTTGCGCCAAATCTGCCGTCAGGTCACTCTTGATAGGACGTGGCAGAGAAGAGGCGGATAGAAATTCAATAAACGACCGGCAGTAGGTGAAACAAAAGGTAAACCTCAAGATGAGACGGAAGTGAGATTCAAAGTCGGTGAGTGCCCGCTTGGAAGCAAGCAGAGACCAAGCTGCGCCAGGTTGCCGAGAGGAAGTCGAAGGAAGGCAGCGGAAGATGCTGATCATAACCTATTCATGACTGCGGCGCGAGAGATGCTATCTAGCTTGCCATGCAGGGCGGCGCTTTCGCATCGTCCAGGATCCTGGCGACCTGGCACAGTCGCAAGGAGGGCCCGGCAGACGGAGGGGTAGGTAGCGTGGTTGTCCTGTGTCGGTGCTCAGACTTACTGTATGTGTCCGTAAGGCAGTATGGATATCCTCAACCAGAGGACGGAACCACGTTCGGTCTAGAAGGTTTCCGAGGGAGGTGGAAAACGACGGCGGGTAGGTAACAGCGGTGCGTGTCTATCAGCTGTGGTGCTGTCGGTCAAATGACAAGTGATCCGGCGTGTTCGGATTGAATCCTGACAGCTGGAGGCGCTGAGCCAGGCGCTGTCATGACGCGAACCTGGTTTATTTCCTGCGAAAGTTGGTAAGTGTGGGAACTGTCAATGGTCTAGACTCTGTAATAGAGCGCCGAGAACGCCCGTGGTAAGACGTTGTGAGAACGTGCGTGGTTGATCAGGGCTGATCGTCGGGACTCACCTACTGGTGCGAATGCGGTCGACGTACGGATATTGCATGGAGAAAAGAAATCAGAGGCCGGCAGAGGTAGCCGGGACGCAAGTGACAGAAAGCCAAGAGTTGGAGGGAGGGGTCGGGTACTTGTAGGAGATGCACTGTGAATGGATTTGCTTCTGTTCCTCAATTGATAACACAAAAGAGCTCGCGATTGTGGAAGAGAAGACCATTTCAGACGGTTCCAAAGGTGCCTAGGGAAGGCACGGGCGAACTGCAGGACTGTCAAGGCCGGAAGAGCCTCACCTTAAACTTGAGGCAGGCAGGTAGAAGGCAGGTTGGTTCGTTCCTTCCGTTTAGCTACTTACTTGACGGTCGTCGGTGAAGAAGAAGATTCCCCCTCAGGACAGGCGTGCCTTGTCCCGGCGGGTTACAAAGGGCGTCCCTAGCTCATGGACGAGTGACCAGAGATGCTGCATCGAAGGAAGACAATGACACGATGAGCCCCGTACGTAGGGGGATGCCAGACGCGTTAAAGGTGCTAGCAGGCTCTGCCCCAGCAGTATTCGGTTACCTTATCCACCTTGGGTTCCTTGCCTTAGTTGGGCTGCTGCAGCGGCAAGCTAAGAAGGTGCCTGCTTGGATGCTTGGCCCGAAGGATAAGGTACTCGTCGTTCAGATACTCCCGTCTCCCGTAGCTCGGTAAGATACGGCGGTCACTTCAGTCGGAGCTGTTCTTCCAGTCGTCAAAGTGTTTGCATGCTGCTAGTTGCTGCGTCTGTTGTGTGTTGACGGAGGCGCCCGGACGGACCCTGAAAGACAAGGGCTATGAATGATGCATCTCTGGCGACGCTTCCATCAGTTGATTAAGTGTGAGGTCAGGTCGGCGCGCCTAGAACTCGTGCGGTGGATATCCAGCCTCCTCCTTCCCTCTCGTACATACGGCGGTAGCTCCCAGCTCCCAGCTCCCAGCAGCATCAAGCTCCCTCCCAGTCCAGCATCTCCCGACCCGAGATTTGGCGGCCGCCAGACCTCGCGGCGCACTGGCTGGGTCATCGCTGCCTTCCGTACGGTGATGCTCGACTCGCTATTTCGTCCGCCTTGCTTTTTTGGCTTTGAGTTCCTCTGGTATATCTCGTCTCAACCAGTCTGGAATGTCCTTTTAAGCCAGGACAGCGTCTCTGTGATCTAAACGGATGCGGTCGAGGACGTTGGTCACACTTTCCTGCTGCTTACTCTGCTGTACTCCCCCGTCAATCTGCAGTGCTGTGACCAGCGTCAAGTGTACATGCCTCTGCCTGTGTCCGCCGTCTCTCTTGTCAGCGGTCCTCGTCTCCATCCACCTAGTATTTGAGCCACCTTACTCACTACCGTTCAAACCTCGCACCTCCTCCTGCCGCAGCGTTCCTCATACCAACGAGGGAGAGACACGAATAAAAAGACAGCAACCGCATCCGCCAACATTCCTACCTCCCGACCTACTTACGCCGTGTCTTCCTTACCCAGGTACCTTGCCTACATCCATACCTTACCTACCTACTCACGCCCACTCAGGTACCACATACCTTACCCGGACGAAGGCCCTGCAGAAAAAGGTGACCCAATCCCGCCGTATCATCGCTTGACCCTGACTTTCGTCCCCCCCGCTCCTTCCCCCTCCACTCCTTCGTCACCACGACCCCTCCACCGTCCGCCCCTCCTCTTGGGCAGTACAACGTCTGCCCGCAGCAACGTCCCACCCAGGCCTCGCAGCAACATTTCCGGCATCAGTAAGGGTCGTCCGCTGCCGCAAGAGCAGGGGAAGAAGCAAAAGCACCGCAACCAGGACAAGGACAAGGACAAGGACCAAAACTACCACAGCATCAGCATCAGTAGTTGCAGCAGCAGCAGCAGCAGCAGCAGCAGCAGCGCGCTTCCTCTCCAGACCCGTCGGCTCCCAAGGCTTGTCATCCGGCTTAGTTGGACTCGTGAGCCTGTCTCACTGAACTTCACCTCAACTCACCGTACCTACTTTACCGACGCATCTCAGTTGCTCACATCGTCCTCACCTGGCGCCTGACACCTGGCGCGCGTTTCCCAGCCGGAAGGTAAGGTCGCACGCATCTCTGCCTGCCCCCTCAGCACCCAGCACCCAGCACCCAGCACCCAGCACCCAGCACCCAGCACCCAGCACCCAGCACCCAGCACCTGCACCTGCAGCAGCTCCAACACCAAGACTCCCCAACCAAAATCGCGCTAGGGATCACTCCCAGATTTGCCCTTTGCCTTTTTGAGAGATCATCTCCCCTCCTCTCGTGCCCCGGTCCTACTGCCCCGGCCGTCACGCCTTCCGCTTCTAATCAGCCGTCCAGGGCCCTCTCGACCCTGGCGTCTGGTGTACCTTTTATTTTACCTCAATTCAGGCGCTCAACGGCACTCGCTCAACCCGCCTGCCCATTCACCTCTCACCTCTCACCTCCCAGTGACCTTGACCTTGATCCTCATCTTCGTCCTGGAGGTGAGGGTGGCTGCCGCAACTGGATACCCTAGACGACGCTTCTTATTGCTCTTGTCGTCGTCGCGTGCCGTATTGCTACACTTGACATTTCGGGAGATTTCTCTTTTGTCAACCCTGAACGCTTCTTTTTTTTGCTCGCCTCCCTGATACACATTATAGTCACCTCACCCTCGCCCGCATACTTCTTACATCACTTCTTCAACCTCACCTAACAGCCGCATCTCTCAGGTTCCTTCACCTTAATTCAGCTGCAACCTCCTCGCGCCTAAGCAAAAGCCGAAGACGAACTACAAACCCTGCCGCTACTTGATCTTCCTTTTCCAGAAGGTACAGACAGTCCTGTCCTCTCCCGTCGTGGGCCGTCTCGCTCCTAACCCAGCAAGTCCAGGTACTTCGCAGTCACCAACGCAACCCCACCACGCAGTTCTTCCCCTCCAAACAGTCCACCTACCCACATCACTCACTGCATCCCCCGCCGAAAAATTATTAGACACCTCGGAAGCCCTACCTGCCTTTTTGCCTACCTTACACCTTGCCTCGCCTTACCTTAGCAGAGCAGACAAACTCGTCTTATATGCGCACCCGACCAGAATCGGACCCGACTTCCAGCTTACCCTTTCCTACTCTAGCTCGCCCAAACAACTGCTCGCTGTATCCAATCCTCACTCCCGGACCCTATTCATCGTTCATCTGTAAGTAATTTGTCGTGCCCTTCTCTCCCTCTTTCGCTTGCTTCTGCGGCGGCTGTTTTGCCTCTGCGTTGTCCCCTTCCTCCCCTCCATCCGAATACCCACACTCAGCTGCACATGCCCTTGTTGCGGTATATCTCATTCATCATCACCCGCAGCTCCAACAATCATTGATGCTGCTTTCCCTTACCCGGCACAAAAGAAACCAAATCATACCCAGCATTACCCTTCCTCGCCTCCAGGGACCGGGCGCAGATATTCCCAAGCTTTCATTCCCATCCCGCAATCCACATCACACCACACATATCTATCCATCGTGGGATCCACCCTTGGACTGAACCTCCTTGCTTGCCTCGGGCTCTCTAACCAAATCTTCGCTTCAGTAGCTCCTCCGTGTCTCCGTGCTGCCACCAGTCACACTTGAGTGTCACTCTCGGTCACTCTTACCCCTCTAGAGCCTTTATCCGCTCTGTTGTCAACTCCTGCCTGATCACCAAACAAAAAAGAAACCAGTCTAACAAAATAAACACAAATCGCCAAAAATGCCTGCCTCTGAGGACAAAGTACGTGAGCAACCATCAAAGAAAAATATGTTGTGGTCATGCGGCGGTTTGGACTGTGAGGGCTAACGTGGGGTGTTGGGCACAGAGCGATGACGGTCCCCTCAGCACCACCGACTTTGGCGACGCGATTGACTCGGTCACCTTCGGTCAGATCCTGGAGATGGACGACAGCGAGGATGATCGCGAATTCAGCCAGTCAATCGTCTTTGGCTTCTTCGAGCAAGCAGAAGAAACTTTTGAGTCGATGGACTCGGCTTTGTGAGTCGCATCATCACCGCCCGCCCTCACCTTTTGCCCCCCACTACCCATCCTTTCCCCCTCTTCTTCGTTTAGCCCCCTCTTACCCGCGGCCCAACGGTTTTCCGTGGGCCTTGGGCTGGTCCAAATATGCTCCTGGACAGCGCTGACTCTCATCTCTTGTCAATGCAGAGAGGAAAAGGACCTCGAGAAGTTGTCGCAATTGGGTCACTTCCTCAAGGGCTCATCGGCCACGCTCGGCCTCGTCAAGGTTAGAGACAGTTGCGAGAAGATCCAGCGTTACGGCAAGAAGGAGAACGAGGATGGCACCCCGGAGAAGGATGAGGAGCTGTGCCTGGAACGCATTACCGAGACGCTCAAGGCGCTTAAGACGGAGTACGAGGACGCCGAGAAGGTTCTAAAGAAGTTCTACAACACCACCGACGCCTAAAGCCGACGTACGACTCCCAACGACGTCGCGCTCCATGTCGCGGAATCAGCCGCACCGTCTCCAGCATTAGAAACGATGGCTGCGACGACGGCAAGGACGTGGAACAAAAGGGACTGTCTTGCCCTTCCCGAAGAGACCTACAGCTCTTCGACCCATCTTGGACCTTGGATGCTTTGCTCGCGAACCTACTTCTCCTCATACCCCTCCCCTACGTTTACGTTTCTGAATCATGAAGAAAAAAAAATGGAATTTTTGCATGGAAACCTGGACTTGATCTGCGCGGAAGGCCCTCAACACTGCTGGGGGCAGCCGAAAGAATAGTCGGATGGCCGAGGTAGTCTACTGGAACAACAAGAAGGTTCTAAATACCTGTTCCCTGGGTTGTTCCATCTGCGCCTACTATAGTCCCCAATCAACAGCATGCATATTGCGGTCTTTACCACTTCTGCTGGATAGATGGGCAGCAGCATAAGTTGTGTTTTGATAGGCAATGCAAGGCGTTTTGGCCGATATCAATAGGCCGTCATCCACACAGACAATGAAGACGCGTCATGAAAATATCCAACTGGGTCAAACACGAAAGAAGTTCAAACCGATAAAAAGGAATCCCATTGACATCTTTTTGTTGGCATTAGACAGCATTAGACATATCAGGTTTGAATACTGATTGCTTCGCCAGAGCCCTAGCCACAGGGGTTTCGCTGACTACAGGCTTCCATCCCGAGTTCCAAGTGCGGGCAGCGGGGAACCCGCCAAAATTCTTCCGAGCGTCACCTTTCAGCCTTGACCGGACTGACATCATCGCGAGCTGTGACGAAGCCCAGACGAAAGATCGACAAATTGACGCCATAGCCTGATTCTGGTACGTCTCGACGTTTCTCCAAACTTATGGGGCCCTTCCGAGCGGTCGGTTCTGTGGCTGTGCGGCTACGAGGGAGACAGCTGCCTCCCCAAGCCCAGCGGCCAGCCTACCGGCCGAGTTTCTCTGTCTTTTGCTATGGCAACTACCGTTGCCACAGATCGTGATCTCTTGCTTCCCCGGGAGTCGCAGATGGAAACTGCACGGTCGACTAGGGACGCCAGTCTTCGGCCCGGGCCGTCGGGAGGCTCTTGCTGTCTCCGTTGACGGACCCTCGATTCTGTCTTGTCACTTTCTCTAACATGGTTAGCAGATTCCGGACGTTATCTACGCAAAAGCCCATGAGCATCGTTGGATCGGTCATAAGGTTCTGAGACGTCCAACTACGCGAGGCAGTCAACATTGCACCGAAACCTGCAGAGAGTCTCTCAGGCGCCAAGATCATAGTCATACTCCCTGACCACATCGGCCTCGACATTCGCAATGCCTCCTCGACCTCCTCCACGCACTTCACCCACGCACTTCCTGTGCATACCCCTCGTTACCGCCTCTTCCCGGTCTCAGCTGTCCAAAAGCCTGGCATCCTTTAAAGCAGATGTCACTAGCCCAGACAGCTTCGCCATCCCTTCAGACGCCGTCCGTCCCCTCGGCACCCTCCACCTTACCCTCGGTGTGATGAGCTTCCCCAAGAACGAAGGCGTCGAGAAGGCCGTCGAAGTACTTCAATCGCTGAAGCCGCGCGAGATTCTATCAACCGTCAAGCCCCTATCCTCCATCACTCCCTTGGCCGGGCCAGCCTCCTCGACCCCTGAGAAGCCTCTCTCCCTCACCCTCCGTGGTCTCCATTCCATCCAGCCCGCTCAGAAAGCCACGGTCCTGTACGCGCCGCCGATCGACCCCGACGGTGTCTTCCGTGGCTTTTGCGGGAAGCTGAGGGGAGTTTTCCAGGAGGCCGAGGTGATGGACAAGGAAGACCGGCCGTTGCTATTGCACGCCACCATCGTGAACACCATCTACGTCAAGGGCAGCAGGGGCAAGAAGGGGCCGAGGATGACCATCGATGCGAGAGATATACTTGACCGGTACGATGACTACGTGTGGATGGAGGACGTGCCGGTGGAAAAGATTGCCATCTGTCGTATGGGGGCCAAGCAGATTGAGGGTGTAGACGATCAGGAATACGAGGTTGAGGCCGAGATCGACTTTTAGGGACGAGATATGGTTCTGGACGAATATCTAGAGGCAGTATACCTCCTCGACTAGCTATATGCCTAACGGACTCATATAAGGAGAAGGTCTTAGGGGCACACCCGAGTTGAACTAGTCGTAGACGGGGTACTTCAGGCAAACTGATATCGCCATGTCGGCGCCATCAGGTCCCGTTGCAGAAGCAGGGTGCTTTGGGGCAGCAACGGCAGCGTTACGCCAGATTCGACCTCTATTTCTAATCTGTGTACACACAGTTCGAGATATGTTGCAAGCAGCCTACGTGTAATACCTGAATGGAGGGAGTGAGTGCCCAAGACCGATCCAAAACACATGATTGCTGTATGTAACCTTGGCAAGGTAACAAACACCGCTTCCAGGCAATGGCAGGAAGACCTGAGAGCAGCATCATTTCCACTCCCAGGGCAACATACTGTAAAATCTTCTCATCTCGGCCCCTGCCATTGTCCCTCCATGTCTCTCTGTGGTGCTTCAGATGAACCGCCAGGATCCTCCAAAGGAGATTGCAGTGAAGCTGCAGGGGTCTGAATGGACGTGCATCACCACAGGGCTCCCTAGGCCACCTAACCGCACCGCCAGCCCCCACGACTGTCAGCCCCGAGCACGCGGCCACAAGCCGCCGGGCCGCTAAAAATACGGCCCCGGCGGGGTCCAGTCACGGCACGCTCTACCTGGGTTACAGACGCTGGAGCCCCCAACTCAGCGAGCGTCCCCGCTCTCGCCCCCAACACGACGGACGAATACGCATGCCCCCCCCGTCAAGGTCTGCCTTACCTAAACCCACTGTGTAGCGACCTCCGCCGGTTGCTTGCGACGACACTCTCCAGCTCAGCTCAGCTCAGCCCGACACGAGAGACAGAGGGATACACAGAGTGAGATCTCTCCTCTCTCGCCATTTAAGAGGGCAGGCGCCAGACGACTTTTGCCTCCTGCAGGCACCCGACGAAGTTCTCCTCCCCTCAACCATCGTGGCCGCTCTCCCCTCCCCCCACCTCTAGGCAACAAACGAAAGCTCCAAGCGGGGGGATAGAGAGACAATCCTCCTCCCCCTCCATCGCGAACTCCCCCGCCCTTCGACTTCCTACACAACATGCAGCAGCACCGCATCCGAAGCCGCATGCTCCTCCTCCCCCTTCTGTCCCGCCGTTCCCATGACGAAAGATAAGAAGCTGCTCCGGATGTCCGACAAGCGCCGCCCCGGCGGCAGTGTCAGCAGCACGAGCGGCGGCAGTAATACCGGGAGCGGTAGCAGCAACAACACCACGGGAGGCTCGACTGCTGGATCGAAAGGAGGATCGAACACACACTCGCTACACACGACGAGCTCGCGGAGCCCCGGCTCAGGCACCGCGGCGAGCATCATCGCGCCGCCGCCCCGCGCACACCATGCGCCCACGAGCTCAGCTGTGCCCGACGAGGGCAGCAGCTCCCGCGAGTCAGGGAAAGATGCAAAGGATAAGGAGTCCAGGTCAACAAAAGATACCCCCAGCACAGGAACCGCTGCCAACACCAGCAGCGGTAGCAGCAGCAGCAGTACGACATTACTTAAAGACAAGGATGCTCGTATAGCGAAGCTCGAGCGCGAGCTCGAGATAATGGAACAAGAGTTCACGAGGGAACTCGACAAGCTCTCCCAGGCTGAGAGCGAAACGGCGGTCTACTGGCAGGCGAAGCACAGCGAGCTGAACGAGCAGTTCCTGCGAGCCGACGCGGATCTCAGGATACTGAGGCAGGAGGCTGAGCACCGCGATGCGGACCGCGACGCCTTGCGACGAGAGGTCGGAGAGCTGAGGGCGCAGGTCAGGGGGTTGAAGGAGTTTGTGAGCACGAGCACGCGGACGAACGGGCAGACGTCCGACGAGGTCTTTTGCGAAGGGATGATGAGGCTGGGCAACGGCTTGCAGAACTGGATTATTGTCCACTTTCGGAGGGCGAAGCTAGGTGTGTTTCTTTCCCCTTTACAAGCCATGCGACTTGAGAGCGTGGAGTCTGACCGAGCGCAGATGTCGCTGCCGCCAGCGAAGAGATACGCGATGAGCTGGGTCGTTTAGTACCCATGTACGCGGACCTGGAGACATCGGCAAAGGTGCACATGCTGCAGTCCATCGTGTCGCGGATTCTCATGGATGTCATCTTTGAGAACTGCTTCTTCGGGTTGCCCAAAGAGCAGGCGGACAAGTTTAGGGCGATGGAGGAGACCTTGTCTAGCTACGGTTCGTCACTTGCCGCTGGCCGGATCCATCCAACGAGGTGCTGACAAAAGAGCTTTAGTGGACGACGCGGAAGCACTCAACAACTGGCGGTCCTCGACGCTGGCGCTTTTCCAGCGCGAGGCGGAGACGAAGATGCAGGCAGAAACAGCGGCATCGACAGACGGCGTCGTCGCCCGCGTAAACGGCATCCTCGACGCCGTCACCGACGCCAAGGCCACCGAAGCCCGCGACACGGCCCTCCGGACCCTAGTCGGCAGCGCGGTGGACCTGTCGCGGCAGCTCGCGGTCCAAAAAGCCGTCTTCCGGATCCACATGCCCGACATCGTCCCGGACCAGGAGACCAAGTTCGACCCCGCAACCATGGAGGACATTGGCGGTGAGGATGAGGAAGCTCTCGCGGGGCGCAACATTTCTTGCATCACCTTCCCTGGCGTCATCAAGCGCGGGGACGAGAACGGCGGGCACATGCAATACCAGAATATCATTGCCAAGGCTAGGGTACTTTGTAGTCCCGAATGATGATGAAGAAGCTGTAGCCACCCACCATCCCTTTTGGCGTATATCGTCCAATCCTCCTCCATAATGATGATGATACTCATGGCCCACGTTTACGCACCGGCGCCCATGACAGAAAGTGCACATTTGTAGCCCGTCTGCCGTTATCATCCTTGCCCTCCTCTATAAGTCTTTGCCGCCGGCGAACACCCCCTCCACACCTAGCATTCATATGACGACTTACCGCTTCTCCCCCCTTGTCTCCCGCCGCGGCCTAAGCCGACGCCGTTGCCGCATTTCGTATCCCATCCATCACAAACTCACAGCTTCCCAAACACCCATGGGCGGGTGGGATAACGACCCCGGTATGGCCGACCAATCGACGCGGGTTCCCACCCCAAGAGACATGCAGCGCCAGCGACTTGCAGCTCCCACGCCCGAATCCACAAGAATGAGTGTGGAGAGGGGTTGGTGGTAGAGACGGATGTCCCTCTTCTCTCCCTACAGCACCACCTCACCTGTCGATCCAACCTGGATCCTTCCCCCGACTGTTCGCCAGTGGAGGGCGAGGGTGAACGAAGAAGGATTCCATGCGGCTCTGCAACTTTGCAGAGCGATCCTTCCGGGTCTATGGCACCCCCCAAAGCTTGCAGGCTCTTCGCGTCACCTACCACGTTGTGCCCAAGGCGACTGCAGCACCTGATACTCGTGGGTTTTCAGGTGAGAGTCAGCCATGCGATTCCAACCGCAAGTGAAGGCATACACTATTGGAATCCACCGCCTAAAAAAAAGACAAATTTTCGAGCCACGTTCGCTCATGGAAGGGATTCCCTTGGTTCGATGTTAGCAATTCGACCCCTTTTTTTTTTAAATCATTGCTCCAGTCTGTGAGGGAGACTTCTCCCGGCGTTCCGTCATGTATCACCGCAGGCGCCGCGCAGCAGCTCGCTTGCTCTGTTTCTACCAACAAACCCCCGCTCTGCCTGTCTCTCTTTCCACCCTGGCAACTGCCCATACACATGTACACCGCATATCGGGTGGCTCACGCAACTATTCTCCTGGACCAATTCGGGGAAGATGCCCTTGACGAGAGCTCGGGCGACCCCCGTGCGGGTTTCTCTGTACAACATCAAGGGACTGTGCATTTGGAGATCCTTAGCCCTATGCTGTCACAAGTGCAGCTGATCGGACGGCAGCTCCGAAGGTCCATTGACCGTCCACAAGATCGTCGATCTTTCTGCGGCGGGCACAAGCTCGGAGACGACATCAGGCCGAGACGAACACCTTCCTCGAAGACGATCGCGGACCAAGGCCAAAGCCATGTCTGCTGACACTCATCTTTCGACATTGGTGAGTCAACGATACCGGCCGTGGGAGCTGATGCTGGCTTAGGAGGTGGTGTGGATAGCCAGCTAGTCCGCTGCTGCTATCCGTCCCGAAGGGTGAGGGTTCGTGCCGATGGCCATGATTCGCATTCGGAAGGCCGCCGGCGAGGGGGTTGCAAGCCGCTTAGGTCCTTGGTGCACGTAAGATTCCGGCCCATAAAGACTGACGCGTAACCGAAATCCAACAACGCAGAGGAGAAGACGAGACTTCCTCCCTCTTTTCCTCGTTCCTTTCTCTCCATTATTGTTGAGCTGGATCGTTCAGGAGCTAACCCTCATCTGCCCGTTGAAAGCTGGAACTTTGTTATAGGGATCGAAGTGCAGGCACTTGGCTGCAGCATCCATCCCCTGTGAACATCCACTTCAGTCTTCCGGCATATTCCCCACCCACCCAGCTTGAGTACCATCCTCTCTCGTCTTCGTGTCTCTCGTTGTCTCTTCGGTCTTCGCGTTTTCGCCCGTCGCGTCGACCCTCGGAGGTGGGACTCGTTGGCTTCCATATTGTATGGATGGAGTTGGTGAGCTCCTCGCCAGTTCCCTTCTGAAGGCGTAACATATCTGACGTTGTACAAGGCTCATCTCGTCAGCGGCAGCAAACATTCGTTTTACTTCAGCGTTGATCCAACCTTTTCACCATGGAGAGACACAATTTCGGATACGGGTATCCGTATCCCTCCGCAGATCGTGACTCTACTCCTCGCTATGTTCCTCGAGCAGGGTCCACGTCCGTGACGTCTTCCACTTCTTGGCAGTCCAGCTCTGGCGGCAGCAACGATAGCGGCTATACCTATTCGTCGGAATCTTCTGGACAATACAACAGTTATCGCATGCCCGACAGCTACTCTGTATCGACTGCTCCGTCGAGCTTCACGGCGCTGAGTACTATGCAGCAGCAACTCAATGGGCAAACGACAACCATATCAAGCCCACGCCGGCTTGGTTGTGAATTCAAAGCCTGGACGGGCTGTCAGCGGTCGTTCGGACTTGAAGAGGACGAAATTGGCCAGTGGATACGTCATGTTGAGGATGACCATCTTGGGCGAAATTACCCAAGTCGTTGTATTTGCTGGTTCTGCGATGATGTCGAATTCCGCACCGAACTGCCCCATGATCCCGGCATGAACTTCGAGTACAGGATGAAGCACATCGCAGACCACGTCTTGGAAGGATTCCATTTCGATAGCAGGAGACCCGACTTCCATTTCCTTGACCATGTGTACAGCATAGGACTGATATCGCCCGAGGCATTCGCGCTAGCCAAGGGGCAGAGTGAGGGGCCGGCAGCACCAGCGGGTGTGCATCCGTCAGGCTTCAGACCAGCGGCGCGACAATCAAGGCCCGAAGCAGTGGTGTACGTGTCGAACAGTAGTCGGCGACGACAGAGAGATACCCGTCGTCATGCCTAAGAGGTATGTCGAACGTCTGGTGGCCAGTGTCGTTGTTCCGGGATGTGGGTAGGTGCGCTTGCTTGGATCTCGGAGCGGGCCGGTGTCGATCACTGAGCGGGGGGAGCCGGCAGTCTCCCGATTTGTCTGTCTTTGGAGGTGTTGGTGCGAACCACAGTTCATCTGGTTTCCTTTCGGTTGATAAGCTTTTCCATTCCTCATCATCTCGTCACGCTACACAAGGCACTTCGTGCACCTCGGACGAAGGCAGTTGCAGAGGCCCTCGGGCCTGCCTGCCTGTCTGACTGCCCCCCATGATGAATGCTCAGTCTTGTATACCTAGAGTCAGAAGACCTCCGCGAGGCCGCAGAGGAGGACGAGTGCATCAAGGCAAGGCACAGGCTAGGTGTAAGGCTGACTGGTGGTGATCCCGAGCGATGGTCGATAGCGAGGTCGAGAGCGAAGTCGAGCAGCAGGGGACTCCCTCGGTGTTCTGGAGGAGATGACCCCTCTTCCGGTGTGGCGAGGGCCACGAGGGTCCGAATTCGCGATGGCCACGCTTTCCTTTGTGAGATGCTTGGTACAAGTTTGGGCGAGTAAGTTATGGGTTCAGGACGTTTTTGTTTCGCGTGAAATTGGAGGACATGCGTCGTTCGTTGCGGGGAGGATCATGTGCTTCCCTGGTAGGCAACAACGTGCACAAGGACCTTTCTCTACCGCATTCACTGCAGGGGTTTCTCTTTCCGGCTTCGTCTATGCTTTTAGTTTCGAATGGGGAAAGAAGGAAGGTGGCCGCTCTCCACTTTGGTCAGCGCAACCTCAGATGATAACAGACATACATAGGAACCAGACCTTCTATAGCACAACGTTGGCGACAATAAGTTTATGATGAATATTTGGCATTTTGGCATTACTGCGCTGCAGGTTTTCTTGACTGCTCAGGCATCAGGCTTGAGTAAGAGGTGTCCGTCCACACGTCACTTTATGTGTTGTGTCGGTTTGCCCAACACTCCCGATCACTTCGCCTTGCTATGAATCTTTCGCCAGGAGCCAATTATCGCAGCAGCTAGATTTTCGATGGAGTCTCCCCCCCAATAGGCTTACTCCCATCCAAAACAGGGCTGTGGCGAGATGCGTGGCTCCCGACCTTTTTTCCCAACCACTGACTTACATGCTGCGCATGCACAGCCTCACTCGGCCCGCGCGAACGTCAAGTCCAGCTGAGCGACGAGAACTCAGACACGAGGATATTGGTCCGGCGTCTCCGCTCAGGTAGTATCACCGTTGGCGTCGTAGAATGGGAATGTGATGTGAAAGAAGAAAATGTGACCGTTGAGCATGTCACAGAACATGTATTATGCAAGGTCGTCCGGGGTATTCGCCCTGTGAAATCCCAGAGCTGCTGTTGTTAGGCCTCGTTTTCGGGATTGGTTGGCATTGTAAAGTTGCCATCTATTCCCAACAAGGAGAGGAGGAGCACTGGCGGATGCATGTATCGGACGCGTCAATTGTGGCACAATGTGCTTCTTGCTTGGCGAGATATTGTGTTCTCGAGACTGGGTCCTCACGAATTATATATAACAAAAGGGAGGCTTCAACCAACGAGGTCGTCATTTCGAATCTCTTTCATGCCGAAACGCCCTCGTGCGAAATGCCTCTTTCGCGCCAATTACCCTTCATTATGTCTCATTCACCCTCAGTGGAACTCGGCGTCGACACGGCCATACCTGACGCCGTCCACCTTCAGCTCAAATCCCAGACCAGCACTGTCGACAATCATCTCCAGTGTAAAGTCAAGATTGTCAAACTCCACGCCTCGTGTTGTTGTTAACCTTGTGAACAAGCTTCGTGGCACTGCTGCAAGATCTGTTGTGAGTGTGCATACGTGTATGAGGTCACGAGTGTATGCTGAGGGCGGTTCGTCTGCTTCGCATGCAATTAGATCATCTGTCACCGTAAGGGACTGCCCAGGGCGGAAGTTTCGAGTATAGTGGAATGCGATAGGCTCCTGAGGTGATATTGCCTCGCCCTGCAATCGCATGTCGGTCAGTCGTCGTCCCCTCGGAGGTATGCTAAACACAGGGCCATAGAATTCAGACTTACCTTCGCAATGTGCCACTGCATGCGATCCGACACCATCCACCGCTCCCACAGTGGCGACCAGTACCGCTCGCTGACCGAGTGTTTCTCTTCGTCGTACACGGTTGCATATGATGTGCCGTAGTGGTACCGGGCTTTTCTCGATATCACCATG